CTTCAAAAGGCTACACATTCTTATTGTATTCCTATTTTCTAATAGTAGTATCTGAAAATTACAAAATCTATGAGGTTCCTTAGCACAACAGTTAAAAAAAAAAAAAACAACAGGATTCATAATCAATTTATCTTCAACTGCTATGTATGAAAAGATGTTTAGCTATGAATAATGTTAAATCAATGTTTTCAAGCTACTTACATAAAAAGCATTGTGATTTAAAATCAAAGTGAGCTAACTTTCTTATAAAGCAATCCACTATTCCAAAATCCTTAAATGTCGTGGGTTGGTTTCCCTAAAACACTTATTTTACTCTACAGCAAATGCCAGTTTGTATTAAAAATAGTTTCTTGTCTAGCTAAATGTATGACATGTGATTTCAAAAAATTTTGGAACACTACTGTATACCCAAAGAAAATACTAGCAAATGGACCACAGAAAGTAGAATATATACATGGTCCTCAGAAATTGGAAGAGAAACATGAAAACATTATCAGTCTGCTGACAGCCCCCAGCTTTTTAAGCATTTCCTCAAAATTCATATATATTAACATGTAGTTTTAGAGTTCTGGGGTACAGTTTTGAGGACAAAAATATAAAAACCTTCTCCAACCCACATTCTCATTTTTGTTGAATCCAGAAACAATATAAGTTAGAGCAGTCACTAATTAACTTCAGTAAATAAGAAATCTCCAATTTTCTGAAGGATATAGTAGAAAACCCAGTACATGAGGAGACCACACGTCCTCCCTGGGACAATACTACAAAGCTTTTCTCTATAAATAAGTCTATGACTATTACACTAAACATTAAGAGCACCATTAACTACACGACAGCTCAGGAATACTAATTCAAATATGATATTATAATTCACATTTCATTATAGTGGCTAAAAATATTTGCTGTTGCTTATGTATCAGTTGCTTTTTGTTTTGTTTTGTTTTGTTTTTGTTTTTTTTAATGTGTAGAAATCACAGGAAGCCTCACTGTAAAGCCAGAACTTTCCACATAAGGTAAGCATAAATCGGAATGGTTTACAAGGTGAATTAATAAATTCCCAGTGGAGACAGATGTTCACCAGTAGGCCAAATGAAGTATATGCATTAAGTGGGAGTTTTGTATACATTTACAAAAAATGGTGGAAGGAGATTGGTAAAGGTATCAGTAGGGATCTCCTATTACATTATTTTTTGCTTTAAAGTTCCCCAACTTTATAATATCTATAATGTTTAGCTTACAAATATGGATAACCCATATCAAGACCTCCATTTAGAGAATAACTATGGTATCTATACACATACACACTCCCTCCAGTACTTAAAATGACTCCTCCTATAATGTCTAAGCGTACACGGTGAACAAAACTTGACTGAAATACGAATGGTAAAGAAACCCTGTAACAGCTGGCAGGCAAAACAGGAGTACTGAGAAGTTAATGGTTCTGTCTGCCCTTGGCATAGTCATTATATGAAGTAATTCAATTTATTCTGATGTATCAACACTAGAATGATTAATAAACTATAATTTGTAAAGGTAATATTAAAAATTAGTTTGAGGCAGTTTTAACAAAGATGGACTACTGGGGAAGCAATTATGATACTATTCAGCAAACAGACTTACTCTTTTAACATAAAGAGCTCTATTTTTAAATTGTCAGAGTTTGGTAACACATGTCGCATGCTAGACAATAATACTTTCAAAACCTCCACCCTTTACTGGAACAGAAATAAGAGTGATATTTTTTATTGGATAATTTGAAGAATATTCCTTTATATAACTGAACCTACAATTAAGTATTCAGATTAAATATTACATACAGTGCCTTAGAAAGACTCAAAGCAGAATCCAAATGGCTGAAAAGTTGACAGTCCAAAACAAGGAAAAAAAAGGTGTTGGGGACTGGGAGGGAAAGATCCAGACTTTATATGCATAATTCAGTAACATCCTAATCATTCATTTGGACCAAGTTTAAGGTTTTACCATTCCATGGTAAAGAACCTCAGCTGGCGTTGGGTTGCAGCAGGGAGCCATGGTGGGTTTAATGTGAATTTAACCCAACTTTGTTCATATAGCACTGCAAAAGGAGAAGCCAGTTTCTTGACTTAACAAAATATACACACCCTCAAACACATCTTAGCCCTGTCTTAATGCTCCCAATACAGCATGCTTGCTTGTGGAAGTTGCAGGCTAGAAAAATACACACAAAAGCCCCTGACACCCCAAGTTCACCTTGTTATTCTTCAGTATGCTTATTTACTCTCCAGGAGTCAATGTCCCTTGCACAGGGTGATACTCAAGTACACCTTCCTTTCCCCCAATGAGAGCTTATCAACTGAGTGTTTTAGTTACAAAATACCTGAGTAGAGAGCAACACAAGTTGCATAAAAGGACAGTATTAGTAATCACTAATACAGATTATCAGCTTCTCTTTGGACAGAGTATATCTAATACTGCACCTTGGGTTGTATGTATATTCTCATCTAATTCTTACAATTTATGAGTTATGACATGATTATAGTCCCTGTTTACTAAATTGAGTATTATGGAATCAAACCTATCTAGAGGTAGGGAGAGATCTGTCAGAAATTGGGGTGTCTCTCTGGTGGGACTAGTGCCACTTCCCCCTTGCTGCAAGACCGAGACCTTTGCAACACAGTCAGCTGAGTTTACCCACGTGCCCCCAATCCCCTGGGGCGGTCTAATACTGAGGTAGAAGGGAGTTTGCGGTATTTTGAAGTCAATGACCTTGCCCCAAACCAACTATTCAAAATAGTTTTTTTTTAATCCTCAGGAATACAAGAGATGGTGTCACCACCTTCCCCGTCCCCAAAATTGAAACCCTGGGAACCACACTTGTCTATTCCTCCATTCACGCACAGCCCCTACTGACTTTTTTTCTCCTATAATGTTACAGCCCAACACCTCTACCTAGAGAATTACCACAGCCTAATGCTCTTCCACATGCAGAGCATGTGGGCGCACACACACTACAACCAAAAGGATCTCAACTACAAATATTATGTCACTTGCCCCTTTAAAAACTTTCCTGGCTACAGCTGACCCATCTCCAGGAGTTTGGCCTCTCACAGCATATCATCCATCATCCCTGACCTCCACATCTTTTGGAAAGGCACTCGGCTGTTACACTCTCGTGCTCCTTTCCATGTGCTGTTCCCCTACCTAGATGCCCTCCCTATAGGAACCGCAGCTTATCTCTCCGGCTGACCTCTACCCATCCTCCCACCCACTAGCAGACTTCCCCCCAGCCTGTACCAGCCTGGCCCTGCAGAGCTGCACCTGACCCCCACAGCCCCAACTCATCAGTCTTGATAGAACGGGACTGAAATACCTTCCTAGTATATTCCAAATGTAGGGTTAGAATTTATATGTACAGGCACCTCCCAAAAATCAAATTTTAATAATATTTATTGACTGGATTGACACTGGTGCCCCCACATGGTCCCATATAACACATTTGGAGGGAAAGATCTAGAATGGGAGTGCTATGGCCATGGCCTGAACTGTGTCTCTGGAAAATTCACCTAACCTGCACTTGATAGGATTTGGAGATGGGGCCTCTGGAGGTGATTAAGTTGATATAAGGTTGTGAGAGTGCCCCCAGCCCCACCTGATGGGATTAGTGAGGGCCCTTATATGAAGACACAAGGGGAGCTTGGTTTCCCTTCACCATGTGAGAACACAGGAGAAGGCAGCTGTTTGCAAACCAGAAAGAAGGGCCTCACCACGCTGGCACCCTGATCTTGGAATTCCAGCTTCTGGAACTGTAAGAAAATAAATTTCTCTTGTTTAAGCCTCCCAGGCTATGGTATTTTGTTATGTCAATTGGAGATGAGTAAAACAGAGAGAAACAGTGGTACCTTCCCCTGTCTGTTCTCCTTGCTTAGTACTACGTATTTCTGTTTCTGTGTCCAGCTAGGTGAACTTATGGATTAATTTATCTAATTTCAACTAAACTAACCCTCTCCCAAAACAACTGGCTTAAGAATCATGCAATGAAACAAACCACAAATTGAAAACAATAAGCAAGAAAATGACAAGCAAATTAAAAAAAAAAAAGTAGAATTGACACTTTTTTTTTTAAAATCCTCACCTGAGGACATTTTTTCATTATTAATTTAAACAAAGAGGAAGGGGGAGAGAGAGAGAGAAACATCAATGTGAGAGAGAAACATTGATTGGTTGCCTTCTCCTATGTGCCCCAACAGGGGATCGAACCCTCAACCTGGTTATGTGCCCTGACTGTGAATCAAACCTGCAACCTTTCAGTCTATGGGATGACACTCCAACCAACTGAGCCACACTAGCCAGGGTGACACTTCTATTCTTAATAAAAGCTCTTCAAAATCAGTTTACTAGGTTAAACATTAGGATAATTTTTTTAAAGATTGTACTTATTTTTAGAGAGAGGGGAAGGGAGGGAGAAAGAGAGGGAGAGAAACATCAATGTGAGAGTGAAACATAGATTGGTGTCTCTCGTACACACCCTGACCAACGAGATAACACCCAACCAAATGAGCCACACTGATCAGGGTAAACATTAGGATAATTGAATCAAATCTGATAAGTCAGCCAAAAACATTTAAAATAATCAAGAATATTGACAATAAGGACTTATATCATGATTTTTAACTAAGAATCTTGGTAAATACATATGGGTCTTAAGATAGTAAGTAATGATAATGATGCATCTGTAGATATTTAAATATTAAATGTTCACGGTAAAAAGTTAAGTCTGGTACTGGCATAAGAACAAACACATAGATCAATAAAACAGAATAGGGAACCCAGAAATAAACCCATTTTTCTATGGTCAATTAATATTTGACAAAGGGGGCAAAAGCATAAAATGGAGTACAAATAGCCTCTTCAACAAATGGTGTTGGGAGAGCAGGATAGCTACATGCAAAAAATTGAAATTCGACCACTAACTTACAACATACACAAAAATAAACTCAAGATAGATAAAAGACTTAAATATAGTGCTCGGCAGCACATATAATAAAATTGGGATGATACAGAGAAGATTAGCATGGCCCCTGCGCAAAGATGACATGCAAATTTGTGAAGCATTCCATATTTTTGTGGATCAAAAAACTATGGTACATTTACACCATGGAATACTATGGAGCAGAAAAAAGAAAGAGCTCCTACCCTTCACGACAGTATGGATGGAGCTGGAGAGCATTATGCTAAGTGAAATAAGCCTGGGGGTGAAAGACAAATACCATATGATCTCACCTGTAAGTGGAACCTAATCAGTAAAGTAGGCAAGGAAAATATGACCTACCAACATTTAAAGAAAGAAGAAACCGCTGGGGACAGGAGGGAGGGAGGGAGGGAGGGAGGGAGAAGGAGTAGCAGAGAGGGGAAGGGGAAGGGTCAGATCAAGGACCAGGTGTGAAGGACACATGGACGAAGCCAAGGTGGGGAAGGATTGAGGCGGGGAGGTCGGGGTGGGTGGGGCAGGGGAAAGTGGTGGCGGGTACATGGAGACAAATGTGTGTGGAAAATTTTTTTAAAAGAGAAATTTTTTTAAAAAGAAAACAAAAAGGACTCAGAATTATAATGATATTGGAATCCAATAAAATATTAAATGTTAGGGTAAAAAAAAAGACTTAAATATAAGTTGCAACACCATAAAATTCCTAGAGGAGAACATAGGCAGGAAACTCAGATAACCACGCAGCAATATTTTCACCAAGGGACATAAAGGAAAGAATAAACAAATGAGACTTCATCAAAATAAGAAGCTTCTGGGTGGCTAAAGAAAACATCAGCAACAGGAAAAGGGAACCAACCGTATGGGAAAATATATTTGCCAATGATACCTCTGACAGGGGTTTGATCTCCAAAACATATAAAGAACTCACACAACTCCACTCCAGGAAGACAAACTATCCAATTAAAAAATGGGCAAAGGACCTGAACAGACACTTCTCCAAGGACAACATACACAGGGCCCAGAGACATATGAAAGAATGCTCATCATCACTAGCCATCAGACAAAAGCAAATTAAAACCACAATGAGATACCATTCACACCGGTCAGAATGGCCATCATAAACAAATCAACGAACAACAGGTGCTGGCGAGGCTGTGGAGAAAAGGGAACCCTAGTGCACTGTTGGTGGGAATGCAGACTGGTACAGCCACCTGGAAAACAGTTTGGAATTTCCTCAAAAAGCTAAAATGGAACTGCCTTCTGACCCAGTGATTCCACTGCTGGGATTATACCCTAAGAATCCCAAAGCACCAAATCAGAAGAATCTATGCACCCCAATGTTCATAGCAGCACAATTTACAATAGCCAAGTGCTGGAAGCAACCTAAGTGCCCATCATTAAATGAGAGGATCAAAAAAATTTGGTACATTTACACAATGGAATATTACACAGCAGAAAGAAAGAAAGAGCTACTACCCTTCATGACAGCATGGATGGAACTGGAGAGCATTATGCTAAGTGAAATAAGCCATTAGGTGAAACAAGAGCATTAAGCTAAGTGAAATATGGTGAAAGACAAATACCATATAATCTCACCTATAAGTGGAACCTAATCAATAAAACAAACAAGCAAGGAAAATATAACCAGCAACATTGAAAGGAAAAAGAAACTGACAGTAACATGAGGGAAGGAGGGAGGGGTGTAATGGGGAAAGGAAGGGGATGGGTCTGATCAAGGAACATGTATAAAGGACCCATGGACAAAGCCAAAGTGGGGAAGGATTGAAGGAGGGAAGTGGGGGTGGGTGGGGCAGGGGAAGTGGTGGCAGGAAAATGGAGAAAAATGTAATTGAACCCAAAAAAAAAAGTCTTACTGATGGAACACGTGATCAAAAAAGTTTGGGGACCACTGATGAAAAATGCAGAACTTACATGACAGAGCTAGACCCATTCTGCAGCTGATGTCTTGTCTCAGGCAGACCTGAAAGCTGAAACCACTGACTCTCCAGTAGCCTTTGGAGTGAGTGACATACATGTAACAAATATTAAAGATATACAAAATAATCCATCCCTCAGAATGACCAACAACATCCCAAACTCAACCCCAAATTCCTTTATAACTATAATGTAAAATAGTAAGAGTAGCTAAAAACCTATGATTTCAGTTTTGAAGAACTGGCTTTCATTTCAGAGAAAAGATCAGCATTTAAATGATCAAACCCAACCTCATGGATTTCAGGAAATTTCTTTGTAGAAAATCCCTGCACTGCAACAATGGCCATACCTCTGCTTTTGTTCTCTCTAAGCATTGTCCCTCTTGAAAGGGTTGCTGAGCAGCATTTCTGAATAAGCTTTTACTGTCAGTTGAGTGGCTCAGCCATAAGTAGAATACATACTCAGATGCTACTTTCTAGATAACTATACAAAGCTCACATGACTAAACTCTGACTACATTACTTTCTGCAGTCCACATAGCTGCCTATTTTTTAGACTTCTGCATAACTAGATCAACCATTGAGCAAACAAAGGCTTACTAACTGCCATCTAACGGAATGTTGTTTGACACTCAAGGAGTGAGTGTTTTTCCACCTACCTAGCATCACAACCATGTGAAGATACTTGTGCAGTCTACATTGACTACCATCCCTACAAAAATATGTCTGTCTCCAGTCTTGGCCAGTGTGGCTCAGTTAGTCAGGCATTATCCCACAAAGTGAAAGGTCGCAGTTCTGATTCCTGATGAGGGCACACGTCTGGGTTGCAGGTTTAGTCCTCGGGACGGTCCGCACACGAGAGGCAACTGATCAATGTTTCTCACGTCGATGTTTCTCTCCCTTTTTCTCCCTCCCTACCCCTCTCTCTCTAAAAAGTAAATAAATAAAATTGTTTTTAAAAAATGTCTGTCTCCAATAAAAGACCCAGACATTTCTCAAAGCACCCAAGAGAAGGACAAATGAGTTTAGCAGTTAGTTCCTGGTCTCCCAGATTCTTTCAGTTAATTTAAAAAGTATTTTTATTTTGAGGTAAGTTTATTCTTACAGAAGACTAAATAGCACAGAGTTGCTAGAACCCTTCACCCAGCTTACCCACAATGTTAGTATCTTATAGCACCAACAGTACGATGGTGAAAGCTGATTAAACATTGGCACAAGCTATCCCAAATACAAAATGTATTCAAAATTCACCATTTTTTCCACCAATGTATATTTTCTATCCTAAGATCTGATTCAGTGGAGGAGACACTGTCATATCTCCTTATTCTCCTCCAATTCAGGTTAAATTTTAACTTGTGTTTTTCACAAATCCTAAATGCTTAATCCTTTTTACCTGTAAGATTCAGAAGTGCTCACAAGTTCACAGAAGACAGTAAGAGTTAATAGAATTTGGGGACAGGGGAAAGGGGAAATAAGTTACTGACTAGAACTCTCAAACCAAATCCTTTACCAGTTTTCATAAATGGGAATGGATGATGTTTCTTTGGTCAATTCAAAATACACTCCATATCCACCCATACAGGAGCGTCCAACCTTTTGGCGTCTCTGCGCCACACTGGAAAAAGAGCTGTCTTGGGCCACACATTAAATACGTTGCAACACGCAATCACAAAATAATTTCATACTGTTTTAAGTAAATTTATGATTTTGTGTTGGGCCACATTCGCAGCCATCCTGGGCTGCATGTGTGACCCACGGACTGCGGGTTGGAGACCCCTGGAAGAAATCGCCGCACAAGTCTCTTCCACACAGTTGCTGTCCTTAGAAACAACAGATACAAAACCGGCCCGAGGCTGACATGCTTCTCTGTTCCTAAAAATACATTTCAAGAAAGCTCATGTGTCTAATGGTTATTTGAAGCACTCAATGGCAAAGGTCCCCCAATTTAAATATTTTTATCTGCAGAATGCCTCAAAAAGACTTGTCCAGCAGTGGACAAGTCTAATAAAAGTTCTAATTACAAGAATTTCCTATGGCATTTTTTGCTGCTGGTATATGTACATTAAGGGCTCTCTGTGCGCTGTGACATTCATGGTCTGAAAATACAGGATGACAGGAGTGGGCGGTCTGGAGATGAACCAAGCGTATCTGCCTCTAGTTTAAAAGTAGTGAATGGTAGCTGCAAGGAGATTATATGTTAATTCGTTTGACTGCAGTATTTCACTGTCTATATAAATAGCAAATCATCATGCTGTATACCTTAAATACATATAATTTTATTACAATATATAAATAAATTAATTAAAATAGTGTACACAGAAGAAAAGCTCGAAACTTTTAAAAATGAAATGCTTTCAACACAATCAATCACTCACGATACAGACTTTTATACACATTTACCTTTGCCAACCTTGACATCGGCAGTTGTCTAAAATGAGTTCTGTAAACCTTTGTTTTTAAAACACTGACCTTTACATGAATCAAAAGGAAGTTAAGACTGTTACTCATATCCTGGTATTGTTTCTTTGTTAAATTAGAAGCAGCCTACATGTTAAGACCAGAATTTACCTAGTTCTGCAGCTTTAAACACTTAAAAGAAAATCATTCCTTCTTAGTATACTCAGTAATACTAGATATCGTGTTATACATGTTATCTATCATCACTGTTCATGCACAAACTGGTTTTTAAAGATGATTTCTCCTCCTTCCTCAAGACGAAAATACTCTCTCACACATTAGGAACCCAGCATAATATTATAAAATGACACTGTAAAACTAGCTACACACTGCTCAGTCTCTTTCTGAAAAGGCAAAACTCTATTTTAAACTTAAAACCAGTAAAATATTCCTATAAACCAACTTTCCTTTAAGATAACCCAACCTGAAAAAATGCAACAGTCTGACCAAATTCAAGTGATTGTTTTAATGAGGACTTTTGCTAGTTAAAACTGCCACTTGAAACCAATGACTCATTCAAAACTACTATCAACATTCCTAACCTGCTTTGAAGACCTCATTTGAAACACAAAAGAAAAAAACCTTACAGCCTTGAAAAGTCACTATTTCAAACGGTGTATGATAACCACATAAAAAGACTGCATATGGCCCTGGTTGGTGTGGCTCAGTTGGTTGGGTGTCATCCCACAAACCGAAAGGTCTTGGGTTCAATTCCCAGTCAGGGCAGATGTCTAGGCTGTGGGTTAAGATGTGTGCAAAAGGCAATCAATCGATATTTCTTTCCCTCTCCTTCTCACTCCCTTCCCCTCTCTCTAAAATCAATGCGCATGTCCTCGAATGAGGCTTAAAAAAAAAAGACCGCACATGCCTGACTATAATTACATAAATATTGCCCAGTAAATTATTTCAAGACATTTTCTGGAAGAAGAAACAAGTTTAACTTTACACATTTTTGAAAATTTAGATACACAAAATTAAAGATTCGCCACCAAGTGCCTCTAACTAGCAAGCTACCTATACACATTTAATATTTAATTTAAAACACCTAGCCCTAGCTGGTGTGGCTCAGTGGATTGAGTGCTGGCCTGCAAACCAAAGGGTCACTGGTTCAATTCCCAGTCAGGGCACATGCCCGGGTTGCAGGCCAGATCCCCAGTAAAGGGTGCATAAGAGGCAACCACACACTGATGTTTCTCTCCCTCTCTTTCTCCCTCCCTTCCCCTTTAGCTAAAAATAAATAAATAAATAAATAAATAAATAAAATCTTTTTTGAAAGCACTTGAAAGGAAGTGATATCATTCATATGAAAGGTCCGAAACAAGGAGTTCTATAGAGATGGAAGTAGAGCAGTGGTTGCTCAGGGATGGGAGAGGAAGGGGGAGGAGGAGGACAGCTAAACGCCCAGATTTCTCCCAGGTGCCATGAAAATGTTCCCAAGTTAGCTGTGGTGATGTTTATACAATTTTCGAATACACTAAAAAACACTGAACTGCAGACTTTAGATGGGTGAACTATATTTCAATAAAGCTATAAAAAATATTTAAAAGAAGGTATTGGATACTTCAGGAAAAAGGAATCTTGTCAGGTAGACTAATACTCATACAGTGCCAGGGTGTCCAACCCATGGATAACACTCCATGCCAAACTTAAAATTAACCTTTTCTCAAGAAAATTTACATTAAGAAAAAAGTCTTTTATGAACTCCCTTTTATGAAAACACTCCTTTGAATAGTTTTATCAACATTTTGCAAACATTCATGGCCAAGATTAAAAAATCTTATTTTTAAAAATCAGTATTTTTATAAAACTTGACTTAAGTAATATAAAAGTGTTAAAATAATGTGGCTCAACATTTTGTAAAGTTCTTAAACTGTAATGCCAAAATGCTTTATAATAAATCCTTTAATAAACTCTGAGTCACAAAACCATTAGCAATTCCTATTTATATACAGTCAAGGTGAAACCAATACTCAAAGCCATTTTACAGAACAGTAAGGGGCACATTTTAATTTCTTGGACCCAATTCAGTGCATTCTGAAATTCATGCTTATAGAACAAGCCATGAACTCAGAAAGTCTATACATTTTAATATTTACTACATTAATGTTCAACTAATTCAATTACATACTTACACAAGGCTTTAAATAAAATAAGCTGTTTCTACCTACTTTATTCCTAGTCAACCTTCACTGCACGTTCCCATATTAATTCCTCCCTTCTCCCAAAAAATACAAATCAAACTATAAAACAGATAGCCACTTGAAATCTGACTGATAATAAAATCAGTGTCAAAAGTCAGCTTTGAGTCTTGATTACAAATTGTGAGGTCCCTTTTCCAAGGCTTTTAAAAATCTTCATTTTCCATAGAAACTAGAGAATTTAGGAAAAAACAAAGACCCTCATTTCATTCTCCCAGTTTTAAGCATTTACATATGGATACCAAAATTAAATAGAACGTAAGTAAAAATACTACTAAAGTATTTTAAAGTATTTTATGAAAATATCCTAAAGTTTTAAAAATGGCTCTTCAATTCCATATCCTTACACAATATAAATCTTCCTTAAAAGAAATTTTACCTTTTAAAAGTCACAAAATAGAAACACATATGAGAAGGTATGAGGAAATGGAACTATATTGCCAGTGCAGGACTCTAAATGATTTCAAGTTTTTTCACAGAGTTGTGTAACCATCACCCCAAATGAAACCCCATGCACATTCGCAGTCACTCCTCCTTACCCAGGCCTAAGAATGACTAAACTATGTTAAGTCTCAATAGATTTGCGTCTTCTGGATATTTCATATAAATGGGATCATATACAGGTACACCTCGTTTCATTGCACCTTGCTTTATTACACTTCACAGATGTTATGTTCTTGACTGCTCGAAGGCATGAACCTCCACTAGCAAAAAGATTAGGACTCACTTTATTGTGATATTTACTTTATAGAGGTGGCCTGGAACTGAACCCACAAAATCTCTGTGGTATGCCTGTAATATGAGGCTTTTGGTTTCTTAGCATGTTTTCAAAGTTCATCCATGTTGTAGCATGCATCAGTACTTCATTCACTTTACAGACAACTAATACTCCATTGTATGCCTATACTACCTTTTATTCATTCATTCATCAGCTGATAGACATTTGGATTGTTTCCATTTTTTGGATTTTAGGAATAATGCTGCTATGAATATTTGTGTACAGTTTTTGTGTGGCCATGTTTTCTTTTCCCTTGGTTATTTATAGCTAGGAGTAGAATCGCTGGATCATATGATAACTTTACACTTAACCTTTTGAGGAGCTGCCAAACTGTTATCCAAAGAAGCTATGCCATTTTTCATTCCCATCAGCAATATACAAGGATTCTGATTTCTCCATCAACATTTCATCAACACTTGTTACTGTCTTTTTGGTTAAAGACATCCTAGTGTGTGAAGTGGTAACTCATTGTGCTTGATGCTCTGCATCTTAAACCAAGCCCACTCATTATTTGAATTTGGTCTCAGCTATTCTTCTAAGCTACACTTTTAAGTATAAAATATGTCCCAAAGATCATTCTTAAAACCCAAAATAAAGCCAGAATAATCTAACACTTCCTTAGTAAGTGAAGGTATTACCTTCACATAATTGCACCATTATTCTACTCCAAATCCTATCAAGCTACAATAATGACCAACAGCCAGACGTTTCTAAATAAGGATATTAGGCTTAGCAGCCTGTGCAAGTGCTATTGCTATAGTAGAATACTTAAACATGTACCAACAGCAAAGTTTTAGCCAGAGACTTCCAGAAGGAACACTGAATTGGAATTCAGTTTTGTCAATTCTCTACACCCAAACTTGGTGTTCTGAGCCACTCACAAAACTCCATTCACTGGAGTCACTCCCAGAGATAAATTATCTAAGCCTGCAATTTTAATGAAATTTGAAAACGTATTAACACCTGTGCCTAATGAGCTAGCTTTGCACAGCAGAGAGAATTTGAGCCTTAGTAGTGAGACAGGTTGGGTTCTATTTCCAGCTCTGCCATTCAGTAGCTATATGACCATAGGTACATTATTTAACATCTTGCTATCTCAGATTCCTGATCTCATTGTAATAATGCCTTCTTCAGGAGGTCATGAGGATTTATAAATCTAGTATAGCTAAAGCATCTGACACAGTGGGCAGCAAAAAGGAGACAGAGGTTAGCTTCCATCCATCTTTCTGTTAACTCTGGGCAAAGTTTCCCAGCAAATAAAAACCCCTTAAAAAGTCCTGGACCATCTGGAGCAGAATATGAGTCCTTATGACTTGTGATATTCTTTTTTTATAAAGCAGTTCCCCACATTAAGGTCTGTAAATTGTTAAGTAGACCTATCAACTGGATTATAACAGAATGAGGGTGGATTCTTGGAAGGGAGCTCAGAGATGAAAATGTAAGACCTCATTTTGAACAAAAACTTCCTCGGGGCTCACACAGCCTCAGCAAGCAATAGATGCAAAGGAGAGAAAGGGAGACGCTAAACACATATGACTCCATTGGAAGCGCGGGTGTAGACGGCCAGGCTCGAGGGGGGAGGGGAAGGGGAGTGGAAGGGGCTAGAGTAAGCAGACAGGGGTGAGGGCTGGCTAGGTGGTAGAAAAGCAAACAAGAGGAAGATGAGCACCATTCCAGCTGTGAATTCACTGCTTCTTGCGTCTCTCAGCCGCCTTCTCCTACCTGATCTGGTTGTCACGGAATTTATTGAGATGCGGTTGGTTGAGGTAAATGGTGCGGGCTGGTGCCTCCAGCTGGTCTCCAACAGACGTGGCCCGGGACATCTCATCATCTGCCTTCTTATAGCCCGAAGAAGGACGAACAGGTCCTGCAGAGAGGAGACGCGGGCAGAAAACACAGCACAAAGAAGTCACGCCAGGCAAGAGCAGCAGCGAGCACGGCTCCGGGCGGGCGGGGTCCAGCGGGGAAAGGATGCTCTGGGCGATGCAGGGCCCGCCTTTGTACCTAGGCTCCCCCAGGAGACTCGCAGCGCAGCTGCTCCCGGCTCCTCCCCGCCCCCTCCCCGCATCCTACCCCTTCCGCTGTTCCGGGGCCCCGGAGAGAGCCTCTCCTTGAGTGAGAGCCGCGCTGCGCTGCACCTCCCCGCCAGGCCTGGCCCGGCCCGGCCCTCCTGCGCTCCTTCCTCGCTCTCTCCTCTCTGGCTGGCTGGGGCGCGCGCGCCTGGAGACGGCGAGGAACTCGGTGCGGTGCGGGCTGCTGGGGGCGGGAAGGGGGAACGGAGGTCAGAGCCTCGGGCCCCACTGGGCTGCCCTCTATGCCTAGCTTGGCCCTAGGTTTTCTCGTCTCCTTGGATTGTGTTGAGGAAACAAAATGATGGCAGCAAAGGGGATGTGCCTTGCATTCAGTCACCGCAGAAAGGGATGGAGAAAGGGGACATCAACGCTTTAAAAATGAAATTCCCCAACCCCTGTGTGAAGGTCTTGCTCCACGGTTATCTTGAACCGACCAGCTGCTTTTCTCCCCAGAGGTGCCTGCCAACCTGAGTCAAGCAGCTTTACCAATCCCAATTTACTGACACATGCATGATCTTTCATTTCATTGCTCAAGTTACCATATCTGCGGTTAAAACAATGCACGTCTATCTCCTTAAGATTTTAATCCTAGAGTCAAGCCTCTCTCCCTGAGCTCAACCTCCCCGTACCCTTCATTTACGGAGTGGTCCTCATGGAGAATGATGCTATACCTATTATTAAAACTGCTAAATACAGGCGCACACAGATCTTAACCACATGTCCAACTACAAGGCAGCATCCCTCAGCAGAAGGGGACACCCACCTCAAGAACTGACCTTTAGGGAAGGCCGCCTTAAGTAAGTGTACATTAAATATACATTTGCTCTAGTATCTGCCATGCTTCCCACCTATCAAAGAAATCCACGCTGCATATTATTAAGGAAACTGGCATCTCATTTCAATAAGCATCCACTTCACAGCTACAGAGAATGTTCACTGACATAGAGAAACATTTTGAAACAGGAAGTTTGGGCTATCTAAGCGTGTCTTCTTTTTAAAGTGATGAGAATCTTACTGCGATCTTTAGCGTAAGGTGGGAATAACCACTATGGAAAATTGGTTACTGAGAGCTGGAATACTGTCCTGGATAGTGCTCATAGCCGGATCCCTATTCCCAGGCCAGGTGTGCATCCAACAGCACCTGGCTGTTCCTTGTAACCCCCCTCATATCTTCCCTACCTCCCCTCCAGCCTCCAACTCTCTGGGAGGCCTCTGGCTGCACAGGACACACTGCTCTGTCCTCTGCATATAGATAAGGGGCAGCAGAGAGCAAGAGTTCCTACTTCAACACTGGCTGGCCGGCTGGCTCTGGCTCCCGGACTTGTATCAGGGAAGGCTGGGTTTTACAGCATTGGCTGATTTAAGGCAGACAGGAAATATCTTTAGAACTAGCCTATATGAAAGTACTGCCTTTCTCTCTGCCCAGTCATCCGGCTTCATTTTTCTCCACAGCATTTATCATCATATCTGATACTATTTATTTGCGGTCCGCCTTCCCATGGCCAAGAGCAGACGCTCCAGGACAGCAGAGACATGCTTTGTTCACTGCAGTGACCTCAGAACCCAGACTAGCGCCTGGCACATAATGAGCACTCACTCATATTTGCTGGTTGAATAAGTCATTTTTAGTCAAGTCTTATAAAGGGTTGCTTTGAATCCTCCTGGCAGAGATGCAGTGATATATTGAGATACTCGTATGCACAGAGGGCTCTCAAACTGCATGTTCTTCTAGTGTGAGTCAGAAGAGTTTACAGCAAGATTGTGTTCACAAACTGTCTCTCAGCTCCAGCTGCACATTATCATCACTGAGAAGGCAACTCTCACAAGTCACTAGTTCCTGGGCCTAGCCCTACCACATTCTGTTTTGTTTTGTTCTGTTCTGTTCTATTTTGTTTTTAAAGCTCCTTAAGCGATACTAATGGCGAGCCACAGCTGAGAGTCACTTGTTAGACACTTCTGGGAACACAAAAACAAAAGATATGGCTCCAGCTCTCCAAATTGTTAACCAGTATAACCACAGTTGCCAGTGGCCTCAGTTTAGGACCAAATGACTAAGAGTGGGATTAAAAGTGCTGAGGAGGGTCCGAGGTCAGCAGTCTCTTTGTGCTCGGGGTAGGGTCTGAACAGTCTAAGAACAACTAAAAGAGCCTTAAAATAGGGGGATAGTTTATATTAGGAGAGGGGAGGACATTCTAGGGAAGGTCCAGAAGAGCACAAGCAAAGGCTCAATAGACAAAAATGTATCAGGGGCAATTAAAAAACAAACAAAAACTAGCATTAAGTGTCCAGATTGGAAAGGGTTGAAAGTAAGCTCAGAAAAAAACAGCCCTTAGCTAGACTGTGGATGAGTTAAATAGCCAGGGGATAAGCTTAAACTTCATCCTGAAGGTCATATAAAGACACAGAAGATTTTTATGCAGGAGAGAAATGCACCTGGTGGTGATGTACACGTAGGGGCAGAAAGAGGAAATACTTTATAGATAAGGGGATTGGGTTAAAAAAAGTTAATTCTACACTCTCGAAGCAAGATGATAAAAGCATGAATTAAATGGAAAACAGAAAAAAAAATGAGCATGAGAAACATCTCAAAAGAAAATGCTGCGAGATTTTTTTTTCTTTGGATTGAATGTGTGGGACAGAAAAAAGAAGAAACATGAGATATGTTGGGACTTGAAGAGAACGGCACCAAAAAAAAAAAAAGCATCACTGCAAGAAATAAGAATGTAAATCACATTTTTTCCAAATAAGAATTTAAGTGCTGGATAACAAATATTGGGCTGAAAAAAAAATATTGACACAAACAATCAGTGATGACAGAATTAAGGGAAATAAATGCATTAGTCCAGCTCATCTTTCCATATCAGCAGAGCCAGATCTGGAATTTTATTCTAGGCAGAAATAGTTATAGATGCCCCACTAAGACACAGATAACTTTCTCCTACCTCTGCCTCACCCTGACCCAACTCTGCTTTGGAGACAAACATCAATATTTTCAAAATAACACAAATTTGTTACAAATGTATTACCTAATGAAGACACTATTCCATAGAAAGCAAAACACATTATGACTAAGTCTTCAAATTCAGATTCGTAAGACAAACCATTGAGTTAATGCATTTTGAAAATACCACCATACAAAATGAGAGTATATGCTTACAACTCCCCCACATAAATAGGCAGTGTCAGCAAATAGTAGGAGTTCAATAAATATCTATTGAGAAAGAACTGAAAGGAAAGAATAAAGAGAAACAAGAGTTGGCAAACAGACTAGCACTGAGTTTGTTGCAAAATGGAAATGCAGAACAGACAGCTGACAGCCAAGGCCATGAGGGCAGGAACTTGGTCTTGCTCATGGCTTGACCCCTGTCTTCCTGAATAATGCTTAGCACACGGTAGGCACTCTGTAACTATATTCTGAATAAATAAGTAAAGGGCTGATATAGTGGGTGCCTACTGAAGATGCTTACCCAGATGCTGAACCAAAGACTTGGTCTGTAATGTGCAGCAATTTGTATCAGGGATGGTTACTTGGTCCACCTAAGAGTCTCTCCTCTGGAACTGAGACATGGGACCTAGAGGAGAGGTTGTCTGCATGTGCCTACCCTATTAACATACACACTTCATGTCCCCAGATGGTCATCTTCTACCCACTGAGTGGGCATGGAAGCAGAGAAGGGATTCCTTTTGAGATGAAGGTGAAGCAGGTGCATGAAGAGCAACTGACATTGTCCCAACAGATTTTGGATTCTGGGTACAGTCCCCTCTAAGACCCCAGCTGTATTTGGCTCTTTAAGTTTCACAAGCCAACCCTAAATCATTCTATAAATTATTCATAACCAGACATCCTAACCAATACTGTAAAGCAACACAAAGAGAAACTATTTTTCCCTTTTACACAAAGGAGCAAATATCTACCAGGAGAGACAAACACCTGTCCACTTATATATCATTCTGGGGTGTCCAAAGGTTTAGTTGCCTCTGGCACAGGTGACATTAGATGCCCCACGCCAGACCCGGGGAGGCCAGATCTGACAGAGGAATGTCTTCATGACAACATTTGGGTTGGTTGGTTTGGATGAAGCCCATAAGTAGCTGGACTATGACTGGCTAAATAAATAAGCAACTTCTCCTCCCTTCAAGGTTTCTGCCAGGATTGGAGAAGAAGATAATTTCAAGAAACAGACACAGATGACAGAGGATGTTCACCAGGAGACTGTGAATAAGAGGACAGATAAAGAATGGGAAAGGAGCAGAGGAAAGCAGACTAGTATAACATACATGCCATTGACCCACAGGAGCATTAAAGGGAGTTGGCAGGGCAGGCACACACCTCAATAGCTTCCACTGTCCACTGGCCTCTGCCATTCTGTGGCTCTAACTGGCCTGTTAATCTCTTCCCCACTCACACTGTTTGTCATTGTAGTAGTGTTTCCATTTTATTAAATGACCTTAATTCCTCCTCATTTCACTCACAGGCGATGTATCTGTGGCAATAAAGATGTGGAAGTCTCTGGTTAATAAGCAGAGACAGTGATAGACCTCCCACTGGCAGGTAAGTAGATAGAAATGAATACAATGCCTCACTTCTATTCACTACATATACAAATTCCACAGAGATCATTTTGGAAAGAAAGTGAAAAATCCTAAGAGGTTTTTCAAATTTATTCCTATCTAATAAATACTGTTATAGTGATATTTAACTCATTATTTGTTATTATACAGCTATTTATATGATATATATGTAAATATTAGCACAAACTAAATAGGTCCAGGGAGTTAAGAACTTCAAG